CTCTCTCTCTCTCTCTCTCTCTCTCTCTCTCTCTCTCTCTCTCTCTCTCTCTCTCTCTCTCTTCGTCGTGGTCTTCTTGCAGGTGCGCGGCGGCTGCTTCGTCCACCTCAGGTCCGCTATGGCGGACTGTCACCTTTGGCGGCCACCTCGGATAAGGCGCATCAGGTCCTGCATACGACGGCGCGCATGGAATAGCGGGTACCAGCTCCGATACCAATGCAATCAGACTCGTTCTCAAACACACTTTTCATGCATGTAAACATCAACGCAGCATACTGGCGACATGCGCCCACTCAAAACTCAGAGATATGGCTTTCAGATACGAGTTCACTCTCAATTGGCTATGGCGACTTCAGCGCCCAAACATCTCACTGTTCACATACACTGGATCACTCTGGATATCCCACACGCATCACTCGAAACAATCGACACACACACACACACACACTCTCTACTAACTACTGCTATGGCAGCTATGGCTGCCTCTAACCTATCGCTAACTAACTCCTCCTCTCTGCCCACTGCGACCTCCAGGCTCATCTGCAGACCTCCTTGCACAAGGCGCTGTGGCAGCGCTTCCGCATGGCTCCCGCAGGAATCAATCAATGGCTGGGCGCTGCCTCTTGATTTATACTCCAGAAACTCGTTGGTCTGCCCTTTGCCATCGGCCCTTGGTGCTCACAGTCCCCCTGTGGTACTTGCTGGACCGGACTGGGACTGACTGGACCTTCCGCTGACTGACTGTGGACTCACCGCTATCCTACCGACGTTGTACTGCTGTTGCACTGCGGTTTAGTCCACCACTTGCCTCGCCACTTGACCAATTGCCCACTTGCCTATCTTCTAGAAGGTCTACAGCTAAGCTTCCAGAACTCACTAAGACTTCTACGCTATAGACCTACAGATCGAACCCCTACTGCCTATGGACCTACGACAGACCTACCAACTATCTGCGAATACACAGGTCACAGGTTCAATTCTCGGGATCTATACAGATACTGTACATAGGTAGGGTGAGGTCTAGGGATCAAACCCTGGGTACTGCATCCGCTACTGCTAAAAGGTGAAAACCGTTTCAGGATGACATATTTCATAGAGATAATTTACCACGTTCAGTTTAAAATTGTATGTGTGTAGTTTTAAACTTAGGGTTAATTTGGTATGCCTTTGGAATATTACTTAGGGTGGAAACTGTAAAATTCTCGTGAATTGCCTTGCGCATTATCAAGATCTGGAGATTATAAGTTGTAGTTCTTTGCCATTAGTGTTTCGATCTTAGAAACATGCCGGCCTTGTACTTCTCCTGCGCTGCAAGGATATCATACTATAGGCTGAAGGAATAGACTAAGTGAGTTTTGTTATGATTAGTTCAGCCACCTTTTCCTGTGCTTCAAGGCTATTTTGAGTAGTTCGTCTTCCTACTGAGGCAGTGTGGTCGTGGG